GAATTACAAGTTTACACTTTCTTAGGGCTACTCTCAAAGTCCAACTAGATCTGGTTACGGTGCAGCAGTTCCACCTCATGAGGTGGTTTTGCGAACCGTATTTATCGGCGTGGACACTGCATATAGCTATCTCGTGCGGTGGAGCAGCTGCACCATACTCAGTTACGGTCAGAATTTGAGCCGGGCCTTAACAGTTCCCAAGAAAGGAAACGACTGAATCCATGCCTAAGGCAATATATATGTTAAGACTAGTCTTATACATATATATACGTACGTACGTAAACGTACGTATCCTGCCTTTAGATGAACGCATTGTACAGCGCTACGCCTCCGGAAAATGGTACTTATGTCAAATCATGGTGGAAGATGAAAGTACACCGCCTAGAGTACAGGTAGTGCCAGAGAACGGTTTTCATTCTTCCTATATGTAACATGAACGCTAAGACAGAAACGCTAATGCAAGGGAGATGCATGTTATGTGGAAGAAGGCAGGGCAATGGGCAATTGGACATAGCTACCGGGTGGCTGAACAAAATGGCGGTCTCATTTACACTGTCGCCCTGGGTCCGTCCAATGTTCGATTGCCAGAATCTTTATTTCATTCTAAAGAACAATGTTTATCGCATACAAAAATTAAACTCGCATTACATTAGGCAGAGGTTTGGTTTTATTTTAAATTGTTTTTAAAAATCGGACAGGTTTTGATGATGTCCTGAAAACGCAAATCTGAAATTACCTTATTATAAATTAAAATTGCTGTTGTTCAGCAGAGAGCCTTCATTGCAACTTATGTTGGTGCTTCAGGTTTGGGGGTGGTCTCTGGTTTTTTTTATGTAAAGAACTGCTGTATTCTAGTAACCGTGTTTGGCCAGTACATGGAATGACGGCGATTAGGCACGGGACAATTTTCGTGAAATTCGTAAGCAGGGATTTTGATATTATGTCCCTACAGATATAACGTGACTGCCAGTGTTAACGCTACCACTCACGGATGCAACGGTACAAAGTTCAAGCAGAGATAACGCTCTGCACAGGGATTGGTTGTATGAATTATCACAGTTGCTCCATTTTCACGCATTTGCGTGATTTCCAACAGTTGATCGACATCAACTTTTAGAATTCACACTTCGCACTCACAGCACTGCGTATACCTACTTATTCGTATACTTACAGTTAGTTTCACTGTACAGTTACACATCGCATTATATTTAGTAGCTACAACAAGGCCGGTTACGCCGGCATACGTATACTACGTATGCCGGCGGTACGTATGATCTGTTCGGTTAAATCGCTTTTGCTTGAGTTACCTGTTTGTCGTAAGATAATTGGTAATTACTCATTAGATAATTACTCATTAGAACATGTTAACTCGCTAATTACTTATCATTTCAATTATACTTAGACATAAAGTTTACAAGTTTATTTATTTTCTGACTTACCGTAAAGTCGTTAATTTTTACAAATTGCAGTTAACTCATAATATAATTACCCGGCTTAGTTTACTTACTTATTAGGACACAATAGAAATAAAATTATTAATTTTGGACACGACTGTTGAGAATTACACCGAAGTATTAGTGCATATTTCAAAATTTTTATAATGATACTGTAACAAGGGAAAATAGCCGTAACATCAATTTTACCAAAGACTTCAGTGCAGCTAAACAGACACCATGCGTTTTGCACGTTCAAAGATAACCACGTTGTGAATGCTTGTGTTATCTTCCGAATGGTCTGTTTTTTAATGGCTCACGGCATATGAATCATGCGGCATCTGCCAGTGATAGTGTTGTCACTGCCAGTCACGTTATATCTGTAGGGACATATTAAATTCCTGGCCAGCCCTGCAGAAGTTTATCTGGTTCAACACTGCCTCTGCAAGAGCAATACATTAGCTACTGTAAAAAGCTAAAACCGGCATCTTTTGGTGCAGTCCGTAATGCGGCCAAAAATCAGATGAAAAATACTCGTAAAAATCAATTAAAAACCAGTATTGTTTCGGAAAGTTGCAGATTGTCCTGACTGCAAAAACTTTTTCTGTGAATGCACGATGTCTCCAACTTTTTTTACAATCAAAGTAGACGTCATGGTCTAGACAAAACACTGGAGAATTTTCAAATAGTACGTACGGGAAAGCACTGCTACGAGATTTTGAGTTTTGAGACCTGGGACACGAAAAATTTTCACCCGCTTCCAAATAACTCCAGTGCAAACGAGCACGAATGAACATTTTTAAAAACGCTTTGCTGATTTTGATAGCTAAATAAATTCTCTATCAAATGAGCTTAAACAGTTCGCGGTGCGACAACTGACCCGCAAGCAACAAACAAAAATCCGAGACCGCCATTTTGTTCAGCCACCCGGTACCTTGCTGAAACTGTGGCAAAAATGAGTTAAGATTTGTCAAAAATGTTAAAAATTTGCAAAAAAGACTCACGCCTCCGGAAGTGTTCGGACGTTTACGAGGGTCGCCACGCTAGTGTTTCTACAATGGAACGTTTACGAGGGTCGCCACGCTAGTGTTTCTACAATGGTGTTTCTACGATGACCTAAATGTAAGAGGAACAGTTAAAGAAATGGGGAAAGTTGATGTTGTAATTTACAATTTGTTTGAAGAGTCGTCGAACACGATAATGTCGGCCATCGGCAAGTCGGGCAGGTCACTGCTGGACAGGCCGTTGTGGTCCTTGTAACCACAAGTCATTTACGTGACTACGCCCGTCGTCTTCAACTGCTTCAGATCTTTATGCGGCTACACTTTGGTCGTTGCATGCAAGACGAAAAGACGTTGCATGCAGCAGCTAGTTAGCTAATACGGGCTTCCTCGGCGATCATAACTGCAGTTGGGTGGTCCAGTCTAGATGACGAAACGCCACACTGAGAGGTAGGCGGTGTTGCTTTTGCGGTCCCGGGGGCTACATGGCAGTGCCAAGACAAGATCAACACCTTGGGCCAGAGCATCTACGGCGAGGTAGAGATTCGAGATCCTGTAGCAGCGTTTGGCGAGTACCGATTTCAGAAAGACGGCGAAGGCGTCCCAACGTCCCGAAAAGCGCTATCCAGGCGGGAACCAATCAAATGCAGCGAAGTTGGTGGCGAACGAAGTCAAGGTAACCCGCGCGGCTGGTGACTAGGCTGAGTAACTTTTGTACTTCGTGAGCAAGCTCTGAAATCATAGGCTGTAAATGCCACTCAGGTCTGCGCTCTCCAGTACAAATACGACGTAAAAAGAGGCAAATCCAACCATACTTCAGGCAAGATGCAACCAAGTACAAGAAACAGCAAAGTTTCCCACACCGTCACTGTGCTGGACTACGTCCAGCACAGCGACGGTGTGCCTGTAAAAATCAGCAAGTGCTGCCGGCCGGTAATCCGCTCGTGTCAATGTCCTGGCATCGCCTACCGCGCAACACTGCAGTCAGCAATGTTCCAAAAGGACCGCTCTTCTTATAGTACATACTGTTGGTCCACAGCGCTCTTGTATGGCGCAGTCACGAAGCACTAAAGTATGAGTATGAATTTACGCACTTATTATACTGCACGTAATCGGAAGTGCTGTTGTCTGCTGATACTCTGGTCACGATGAATCCCGCAGTATAAACCAAAACTAAAACGGCAACAGATGGAAAGCAAGTGCTGCCGGCCGGTAATCCGCTCTTAGTTTCCGGCATCATGTCGCCGTATCTAAAATTAACAAATTATCATTTTTGCTGTGCTGTGCAAGGCGCTAAATGCAATAATGTTTTCTATGCGGCTTTTGAGGATCTGTAGGGCCTCACCTTCGAGGGCTGGGTGCTGAATTACCGTAAATCAGAATTTTTTCGTTTTTCTGCACAGCCACGAATTATCTGTACTTGAAGTACTCGTAGTCTGCATGGTTACTTGTAGTCACTTCTTCAGTTTCTTTGGATTTTTTAGGTTATTCGGTTATGAATGGTTTTACCGGTTTGACTGGTTCTTAGATAACTTAGATCTAAGAAATCCAAATCATTATAGATTTCTTAGATTTTGTAGTTTAGTTTCTTAAGATTTGCTCTAGATATATACGCTTCTAGTGTCTAGGGTTTAAAAATTATGCTGGCACAAACTGTGCCATATCAACAGCAGCTAATAATGAAAGTTTTCTCAGTCGAGAATACCCAAATTCAGCTACGTATGCGGCAAAGCCGAAAGCGTTTCCTTGCCGGGCAGATAAGGAAGTATTGTTATGACATCATTCCAATGATATCAGCTTATGTACCATTGTTTTGATAGCTTATCATGTTTGGATTATGCAACATGGTGTTGATCGTTTTTCTATCTACCATTGTTGATAGTATATCATGTGTTGATTTGCATAGCATTTTTACATTAGCCGTTTTTTGCATTTCTGCGTTTGCTTTAATGTGCCGCTATATAGGGCGCGTTTGCAAAGCGCCTTAACATCAGTGTAAAGTCAGTTGCGAAGCTGACGTGAGTTTGAATTACAAGTTCTGCCATCAGTTGAGTTGTGCATTTTCCCCTTGTAACAGTATCTGATAAGTTAACTTATTGCAAAATTTGAACCTGATTACCAAAATCAGTAGTATGGTGTACGCCGATTTGTTATGCGCCAGCAATAAGGTTCTGTGTTATCACAATAATTTTTTGAATCTGGGTATCATTGATTACAAATAATTTTAATTTGCATATAAGCAAATTTTGTGTAATTGCAATTTTGGAGTTACGTTTTTTGTAATTCCATTGCGGCGGCTCTGGAATTACAGTAGCGGCTATTTTTTCATAACCACACTATAGCAAAATAGCCGTTACTGCCACTGGTAATGCTACCGTCTGAGCTTTGCCCAAATTGTCCAATGAGTAGATGTTCAAGAGAAAGACGGTTTTCAGTAATCTGTTGGTTGCAGTTTTATTATCTTCTTTACTGTAAGGCAGTGCCTTATAAAGCATGATATCGTGGCCGTGGCAGCTGCCACGTTTTACCGCTTGCCATTACGCTGCCAGTGCAAGTGGCAACTGCCGCTGCCACCTTTTACACCCTGCCCTGCCAGTCAGATCGGCGACACGCGTGCCGCACACCAGCTCGCTGAGGCATACACACAAGCCAATTTTCGGGCGCGTTATGCGTAATTGTGTGTACTCGTAGATACTTAGCTGTATGGCTTAACGTGTACTCTGTATCTGTCGAAGTGCGGCTTGCTTGTGTGAGCAAGAAAACGCGCATGGCACAGTAGTGCATGGAAAATATGCAACTTTTATCGATCCCTTCATTCACTTCAGCAAATGGAGCATTATTTTCCTGTGTAGTCGCCAGTTGGCTCGTTCGCTTGATGAAAACAATCACTTCATTAGTCATTTTGATTTCGTCATGTTGTAGATAATTAAAAGTTCGGAATGGATCCCCTCCCGCCGTCATTTTCGGATCGGTGTCTGGATTTCTGTATGAAGTTTTACAACCACATAGCAGACCGCGGGTGTTACAGCTCAGCAGCGGGCAATCTATTATTTTCTCCATTATGTGCGGAAGTCGCTCTGTCGATGGCATGTCTTGGTGCGAGAGGTATCACGCGAGAAGAAATTCTTTCCGTGCTGGAACGACAAAAAGGCTCAGCACTGGACGCCACGCATCAAACCCTGATGCATCTGAAGCAGAACGAGGAACTTCTCCGATCAGATTATATTCGTAAGTCTGGCAAGTTCATTTCCCGAAAAAGAATCTTCTACTCGGCCTGAAATGGCCTGTCAGAAGAAATCTGGGAGAATAATTTTTGTCTGTCTAATCTAAATCGCCTTACATCATTTAAAGGCCCAGCTGTCAACTACAAGCTCTTCCTTTCCTCGGGACTGTTTGTCGCAGAGCAGTATCCGATCAAAGAATGTTTCGTCGACGAAGCGAAGCGGCTATTCGATGCAGTCTGTCGTAGTGTTCAGTTTGCAGAACACCCTGACGAAGCGGCATTAGTAATAAATGGATTTGTTAATGAGCAAACATGTGGAACCATCGATAATCTGATAGCAGCCGCCGATTTCTCCCGCTTTACTCGAATGGTTTCGGTAAATGCTTTATACTTCAAAGCGAATTGGCACCACCAGTTTTTGGAGGAGAATACCACGAAAAAGCCGTTTATGACGGCGCGTGGTGACACAGTGATGGTGGAGACAATGCACGCCACCATGCCGTGCCAGTATTACAAGAGCAAAGAATTAAACGGAGCCAAGTTCTTGCAAGTACCCTATGTCGAAGAATGTTGCCATGCTTACTTTATTCTGCCGGGAAAGAAGAAACGATTTTCCCGGGGGTCATCCAGTTCATCTCTAACCAATTTGCAACGCTCTCTGACTCCGGCAAAATTGCAAAACGCAATGCAAAGCTTGCGGCCGGTCTGGTATGGAACCATCCAGCTACCCAAGTTTTGTATACAAGAGGGTGTCAACATGGAGAGCATGCTGCAGGACCTCGGTATGACAGCAGCCTTTGAAAAAGATCTAGCGGATTTTACGGGGATATCGGATAGCAATCTGTACATCAGCAAGACTATGCAAAAGTCTTATATCAGTAAGCAACTAACCGTAAGCGTCGTGCGATTACTCTGTCAGCTTCCTTTAGTGTGCCCACAAAAAAGCCATAACAAATGTCTATGTGATGGTTACGTTCGCAATTTCTGTATAATTTTCCTATTCTTTCAGATGTCAATGAAAAAGGAACGGAAGCGTCCGCAGCAGTGCAGATGACCTTTGTGGACGCTTGTTTACCTCCCGATACCAAGTGTAAATTCATTGCTGACCGGCCGTTTATGTTCATGATACGCCACGAGGCCAGCGACGCTGTGCTCTTTATTGGACACGTTGCTGATCCGTCGGACTACAAATCCTAAATTTGGTTGAGGTGTCCCCCGGGCGAAATCATTGGCTCCTTCTGCCTTCTTGGCTTCCAGATCTTCGACCCATGAGCAGTGTTGATTGCTGGCGGACAGAACGAAGAATACGGGCAGCGTGTGCAAAATACACGGGAGCACGGTTAAATGCTTTGCCTGCAAAACATATTTGGAAACTGGTTGGACGATCAGTCCTTTCGCAAAGCTGTTGGCTTAGCTGGGCGTTAACATCGTTGAGGCTCATGCCTGTGTGAGATGTGGAAAGGGCACTAAAAAATCCTTAATGCCTTTATGGGTTGTAATGTAAAAAGAGCAGCGGCAGAAAAGAGCGCCATAACGTGATAAACGATATTGTCCTACGAACACTGTGTAACGCTGGCACTGAATTTTATCCGGAGCATGTTGGCTTTGACCGCACCGGCGGGGCGCCCGGGCGGAGCGACACGATGGAAGTAATTGGTTTGGGATGCTACGTGTCGTGATACCACCATTCGAGCGACTTCGAAGAATGCAGACGCGGCAGCCGAACAAGCGTTTTTGGAAAGAACAAGAAATATACGGCACGTCTTTTGTTAATCGTTGTTATTTTGTTCCTTTGGCTTGTGAGTTGTAAGACGTTTGGTGTTTGGTGCAACGGATATGTTGATCTGTTGAAGGAAATCGGCAGAAAACTGTATAATCTAACGGGAGAAAGCTGCTCCATCGGTTTTCTTATCCAACGATTAGGTCTTGAAATTCAACGCGGTAATGCTTAGAGCGTTTCGGGAACAGTTCCGTCGCATTTTAATTGGAAAGGATTCTTCAGTTAGATCATGTGAACGCAAGGCTTTCCCGTTTGTCAAACATATTGATTAAAGTTATCGTTATCTCCAGAAAACAAATCAGAAGTATTGTAGTATCGTTAAATTTATAATATCCATTTTATTAGATTATTTATCTCAAGGCCTGTCACATCATTCTTCTTAGCGCCATCTAACCGCGAAAAATAAAACAGTGGATCCGCAAATGCTGATAAAATTGGCAAAAAAAAACTTGTACGAGTATCATTCAGAACATCCAGCGGGTAGTTCTCTGTATTTACAGGTTGTCTGCGCGGTTTACGTAGTTTCCGGTAGTCAACGGTAGTCTTGTTGGTGTAGTTTTTGTCTTCACAGGTAGTCTGTGTAGTTTGGGTAGTTTCCGGCAGTCTAGGCATTTCGGACAGTTTTGTGTGTTTCGGCAGTTCTGTGGCAGTTTGGATAGAAAACTACTAAGCGCCGCGCTTAGTATAGATCTTGTACTTAAATTAATACGAGTATATTAGGAAGCGTAATACAGTGTTTTTGAAATTTTAAAAATACCCTAGTATTTCCACAATTGTGTTTGTCCCAATTAAAGAAATTGTCCCCGCGTTGAAATATGGCCGACCAAATGTCCCGCGACGAGATTTTATGCGACGAGTTGGTCGGTCACGGGCATAATAGAAAAGCTTACTTTCGGAATGTCTTTTAAAGGTCATTCCGAAAGCTACGATGAACGCCTGCGTTTGTTTGCGGGTAACTGCATAATTACATGTCAAGCGTGATTTGACAGTTTTCCAGTTTTTCTTGAGTTTGTGCTTCAAGTTGTTTTTCTTGTTCTTGGTGCGTGTATTCGGATTTGATTTCGGTCTGCAGTTATTTTATTTTGCAGTTGAACCCTAGTACTTCTAATTGTTCTCGTATTTTTATGTTTTGCAGACTAACAATTGTTACGCCAGCTAGCGTATTTGGTTCCGTGTTGAGTTTCTAAGCGCCACGCATATAACATTTTGCAGTTATAATATTACATGAATCTGTTTGGCATCATTTTTGTTCCTATAACTGAATGGCTGGGATGAAAAAATTCGTTTTGTGACCATATTCGTTGGCTTATGCTCTACATACTACGTAATAAACCACGCACCGCGCCAATTATTATCAATAACTGTAATATATTATGGCAATACTTGTAGTACTTCCCTGCCATAGGAGAACTACTGTACGAGTAAATACAAAATCAAGCATACTTACAAACTAGCCGGAAAGCAAGTAATTATAATTATAATTGTAATTCATCTGATCATACTTGTTGAGCGAAGCTCGCCTTGTACATATTGAGAAATAAAGTGCTAGTAATTATAATACAGTACACCGGTACTCAACCGATAAAAACACAAAAATCTACTCACAAAAATGAGGTACTTTATAGCGGTATATGTATGTCTTATTACAACAAAAATATTAAAGGAAAAATTTTTAATTTTTGGGACAAATAAACAGTGGTTTATGGGTGGTTATGATCCGTACATTTCACGTACCAGTGAACGTCTAAATAAATGTACCGATATTACTAAAACACGAAGTGGCGTTTTCTTGTCTGCTTCGCTGTCAGCGAAAACATTCCGTCGCGGACTCGCTGTGCAAATTACGTATTATTCGTGTACTATAAATTTGTAATTAACGGTATAGTTAGGGACCATACACAAACTACGTACAGAACGAATTTTCGGGAGCGTAGTTTATAGATAGTCCCTTACAGTATCTTCCTTTGTGTAACTTGATGCTTGTGCTGTGCCAAACCACCCCCCTAACATGTGCGAATCAGAATCGTGTAACATTTTGGTTACAGACTTTCCATAGACCGGACGAAAACAAGCCGTAAACTAAATAGTGTACAAAGACTAGTCTTTGTAATTATTCTAGTTTAACCGACTGCCAACTGGTGTCAGTTCGCTCCTGAAAATTCATATATTTCCTATTGATGGGGTTTGTCGTTTGATTTAGGTGCCGCTTGGAGCTGCATTCAATATGGCAGCTTCAATATACAGTAACAATAGCTTCAATATAGGCTACACTTGCACGTCGATTTGGCTTAGTCGTGACAACGGCATTGGCCGCATTAATATTGGTTTTGTCGTAAACAATCATTAATCATAACGTCTTAGCGCTCCGGTCACCGCTCACACGATTAGAGCAGGGTCGCTTTCTAGCAGTAAAAAACATTAATGGCTTACTACCCACGATAATTGTCGCCCATTGACGCAGGCTAATGCCATCGTAAAATACTGCAGCCGGCAAGTATTTAAACCACTGGATGTCCTGGCTGCTTCGCTACCACTCACCGTCAGTTACTGCTTTCCATGCACAGCACAGGCAAAAAGAACTTTCGAAAAAGTCATCGCTTTGATTTTTCCTCAAGTTTTTTTGTGCAGTTTTTATTCTTTTCACGGCATTTTTATTTCTGACTGTATCTTTTTATTTGGCAATAGCCAATAGCTCATCCATAAAAACAGAAGCCTGCACGGTGGACACTAATTAAAATTCGATTATGGGAAATTTTTTTGATTTTTTCGAAGCTTAATCTGACTTAATCGGGATGTCGATAGCCATCGCTGGTGCCAGAGCGGCTGTGTGGAGGAAACTGCCTTGCATGCGCACCCAAACGATTGAACCAGCTCTAGAAAATGTTGCCTCGTCGTATGCGATGCATCAGCATTTTCTTCAGAGCCGGTTGGCTATACAACTGTTTTTCCACATACCAAAATATTTTATTATCAAAATTAATGTTATTATTGGCGCGGTGGAAATAAGATAACCCGTGCATGTACGCGCCGTTGTATGAAGATTCACGCAATACGCGGCCAGGAAAGCCAACAACATTTAGTCCAGGATTTTACTGCCGGCGAGGACAGCCTGTCAGGTTCTTCTTTATGTCTTATTCAATATTCAACGATTTCAAGCGATATTAGATCTAATTTTGGTCATCGGCAGGATGAAAACTTTTCTTGCCGCTATTGCAGCTTTCTTTCGCTGGGTGCTTTTGCTTAAACAATAAAATTTGACAGATTTCCGAAAATCTGTATTAAAATGCTCGCAGTTTGTCGATAATCTAAACCGCTGTTAACAGCAATCATGCAGCCACTATCACCGGATTATAATTTGATTTCCGGTTTTCAGTGGGTTCCTGCAACTGTGACTGACGGTATATAATGTGTAAAGACCTCAATAAAGTAAACAGACAATAAATCGGCAGATACGCGGGACTTCAGATCATCCATTTATTAAAGTATTTCGTGTAAAAAGTTTTATGGTTTATCAAATCGCGCGCAGGTGTCATGTACTCAAAAATACTGTGAGGAGAGAAGCGGCCCGTGTACAGCGACAAAGTCTTTCAAGGATTTTCAACACTTTGCACCGTGGTGCAGTGGTACTGCCTACGCGGATCTGACGACGTAGCCGAGGTTCGATTCCCCCATCGGCGCCTTTTCAGCCGTTTCTCGGTTTCCCTCGGATTGCGCCCTGCTTAGAAAGGTATTTCGGCGTCCGCAAAAACAAACGTTTTAGTAAATACGGATTTGGTGCCATACGTTCCCTTAATCAAGCTAGTTATTCTTTGGCCTCGGATTGTCTTCTGAGGAGAACTGCGTATCCTTTTGGACTCGTGCAGTTGACTGAGTACGCGCGAGTTATTCTGTGCAATACTGTAACCGGAACTCGGCGAACGATGGCAGTCTAATGCTAGATCCAACTGTGATCCAGATACGGCGACCTAAACGGAATAGATCCCGTGGAGCGAGCAATGCGATATGTATTGCGAGCTATGCGGAAACACAAGACGTCGCATCGCTAATTGCTAACTTTTAATAATATTGAAAGTTCCGACAACAGAAAAATCAATAATCGATCGGCGCAGCTCGATCGCAAATCGTAGAGCCAATTCTACACCGTGCAGCGCGTGCTATGCCGCGCCCACTAACAAAACACAAGCCAATCAGAGCGAGACACCACACAGACCGTAATCCATGGCGTAGCGCCTAGCGCCACAGGCGGGAACGCTAGTGAGCCCTCGTCTCACATGCCTCTGGGGGGATGCCGAGCTCCGTTGAGGCTGGACACACTCCCGAATCCACGAAAAGACGGCGGTCGCCGATGTCTGTGCGTGCTCAAAAACATCAAATTCTCTTATTCCATTTTATCACATCAATTCCAAATGCACAATGTGAAATAAAGAGATCTGTATCAAAATACTATTCCATATCAATTCGAATACAAAAACAGATCAACAGTTAAAAGATCAACAAAACTATTAATCAAATGTAGACTAGGATCCTCCATTTCTGACTCGTAAAGGTCACAGGTCCTGTCCACCGTTTTCCCGCGCTTTGGCCCATTCCGCTCTGTTGAGCAATTCCGCGCATCCATAGCGCGACTTCATCACAATCCGCTTTGAGAATCGGGTGCGTATCAAGTACGACTTTAGAAATACTGCTTCACTCTTTGGAATAAGGTGCGTATCAATTGCACGACTTAAAAATGAGATCCAATAAAGGTCATGGAGGGACGTCATGTAGACAAGCGTAGTGCGCTTCCTCCCTGGTAAAGGTCATCCTTTGTTGAGATGATCCGTTGTGATGTGCGACTTATTTTGGGTTAATGGTCCCAAAAAGGTCATACGACTTTAATTCCGATACAGTGACTCTATTGGGCAATTTATGATCCCAAAGGTCATCCAACTTCTTTTCAAACTTCCATTAAAGGTCATGGAGGAACTAAGCCAATTTTCTGCGGCTTCCAAGAACTTCTTTGCTTGCCTCCCTGGTAAAGATTTCGATTTGACCTTTCCATCGCACATCCAACTTTAATATGCCTCGAGCGGCCAGAGTGCCGGCAAAGTTTACCGTAACATCTCTGATGGGGCCGGCTAATTACCGCATTGAATTTACCCCATGACGCTTCCACATTCAATCTTTTACTCTTGTTCGCCGCTTGTGGCCCGTCTTCGTCTCGAGAGATCCGGCTTAATTTCCGTAGTTTCTCTCGTTAAGTTCTGACACTGAATCGCTTGGAGAGATGGCCGGCATAATTTACCGTAGCAACTCTAATGAGGCCGGCTAACTGCCGCATTATGTTTACCCCATTAACATTCCACCTGTTGTCTTTCTCTTTTTCGCCGCTTGTGGCCCACTTTCGTATTCAAGAGATCCGGCTTAATTACCGTAGTTTCCCTTGTGAATTTATAACACTGAATCGCTTAGAGGAGGGCCGGCTAACTGCCGTAGCTACTCCCTTGGGGCCGGCTTTAGAGACCGAATCAATTTCAACCCCAATCGATGCTCCACATGATTTCTTTATCCTTTCTGATTCTGTGCTATAAACGCTGCAAACAACAATACACAAATACAATTAATGCTAATATGTCACATGTCACGCCCTGTATACAACACCATTTTTCATCTTTGTGACGTACCGACAAATGCCGTAGACGTCTTTTTAATAGTGTGATCCTAACGATCAACACTATTCCATTTCATTTGAATCGCCCTCGCCATCTTTCGGCGGGCGCTTCTTAGAACTTTCCGGTTGATTGCGGTCAGACGTTCGGTCGACCGGTTCCGTTGAATCGACTTCCATGACCTTTGCCGGGTCAACTTCCCGCTGGCCACGACCTTTCCCTTGGCGACTTCGCTTAACCGCCTCAACTCGATGGCGTGCGTCATTTTCGACTAACCGCAGTCTTCGGTTATTAGGGTCATCTGCCAATCGGCGTTGTACATCGGCAAGATTATCCCGAAGCTGCTGGTTTCGTAGGCCACGTCGTCCGATCTGAGCGCGTTCTGGGCGTCGGTCAGCTTTGTTTACTAAAAATTCCGTTATGTAGACGTCAACTCCGTCCACTGGTTCAACGTAGTCGCTTCCCATAGTATCTTTGATCTTATTAATCCTCTCTTCAACTTGGGAGGCATGTCGTTGTGTAAGATTGCCCTTTTCCATCCGTGTCTAGCACTTTTTCAGTGCCTTTCTAGCTGTGTGAGCTATTCCGACATGTTCCATGGGTTCCCCCAACTTCGCCACATGAGGTCGGAAGAACGGTGGGATGTCGTCCTTCATAGTATTAGACACCAACTGATTCTGTGTCTTATAATGTGCCAGTCTCGCAGCAAAGACCTTTTGCCCCATCTTTTTTGCGGCATAGTCTTTAGGATCCACTTGTAATCCTATCGATGCTCTTGCTGCAAGCAACTTGAAAGCTGGATTTACATATCGTAAAACGAACTGAGCCACATATTCCTGTTGTTCAGGATAATCTGTGTAGTAGAATTGGGTCATTCCAACCGGGTCAGTCGTATCCAGCGGCACATCCAACAAACTCAAGTCCAGTAGGCTATGTAACCCATTCCTTCGGACAGGGAGATAACAATCTCTTACAGAGTCGCGGGGAATGTATAATCGGTGGAAATGTCCTTCTTCCACTCCCCTTTTAATTTCTCTAGCATAGCCCGAATCGAATAAAAATTGGCGTAGCTGATTCAGTATGGTATGAATCTTATTAGCTTCCACCGAATCGCCTTCAATCCCCATGTATCGACAAATTTCCGCCTTTTGTTCATCGGTGTCGCTCATATTATATTGCATTTCGATTGTGTCAGGGTGTCGATTATCGAATCGGGAAGTCGTTCGTCGGTCAGTTCCGCGACGGTCGTCCGGTTCACGTTGACCTTCTTGTTCACGTCGTCCGCTCTGCGGCGGTTCATTACCCGTCGATGTGGACGGCTGGGGGTCACTGTCAAGGACCACGTTTCTTCGGTGTATCACGTTATCTCGGGACGCTTCTGCGACTGAACCGGGCCCTTCCATCGTGTCATCTTCCTGTACCACAGACGCTTCTGCGACTGAACCGGGCCCTTCCATCGTGTCGTCTTCTTGTTGTACCGCACTCACGATGGGATCCACTACATGGACTGTCGATTCCATCCTCTGGTATTTGGCGGTTGTATCTTCCCGTTCTGCGCTCGATGACCTTTTGCTTGCGCCAGACTCGAAGCCCCCATAGTACTTGGCTCTCTCCTGCCATCTCTTATCCTGTGGGTCCGGTGTTCGATTTCGCGTACGTTCGCGTCTCTTGTCCCATGACCTTTCGGGTGTTGACATTCTGACGTTACGGTTACAGAACGCAACTCCCAACGGCACCTGATGACCTTTCTTTTCAGGTTCTGTACGGTCTGACTCCGTACGCCGTTGTTCTTCGCGTCCGTCGTCGCGTTTAAATCCTCTTGATCGCCGTGCCGGACATTTCATTTTGACGGGATTTACGCAGATCCTCCATACGTTTTTCAATTTCCTTCTTGATATATGGTGCTGGAGCGAAACCCTTCTGCAGTCTCAACTTTTCCCGCAACAGCGCGTCGAATAAGTCCTGTTGCATAGCGGCCGGATCACTTGTCAAAGTATCGATTTGAATGATGAGGGACTGGCGCGTAAGCTGCGCTTCTTCTTCGTTGAGGCTGGCTGTAGGTACAGCTGAACTCGACGTGCTGGACAGTGCCTCTCGTGCGGCCTGTTCGCTTGCCCTTTTATTGTCCGCATTAATCTTCGCACGGAGTTCATCCTCCAGTCGTTGACGCTGCATCTGCTCCTGTTCCCTGTTGAACTGCTGACGGTATCCGTCCGTCAAGGGATCGTGTGGTGGTTCCATTGTTATATCCCAGACAGGTTCTCCATCCTTCATGGATTGTCTGTATCGATCTTCGATCAACATTCTGTCTGGCAACCCCACATTCTGATAATGTGTTTTGGTAATTAAAATCCGGAATATGTCCGTGTTGCCTCGAATGGCTTCTCTCGTCACAATCCACATGGCATTCTCAAGTTTTGCCGCGCACGCCCAACATGGGTATTTGCCATCTCTTATGGTGTTAGTGCGCTTACAGTCCGGACACTTCGGATTATGGCCCGTAGATCTGTCAATATCTGTTGCCGTTCCTGAGCTTTTAGGAGTGGCTTGACCTTTTTGTGCCATTTTCTCCGTTTGAAATCTGCAATTAGAAAACAATCCATCATAGTAACCTTTCCACGTTAATCTTTTCCATTCCTATTCATTATCAAGGCTTTCTATCATTTTTACGCCTATTCCGTTACTGAGCTGAGACTTTCCTAGCTCCTGCTGCCCTTTCTATCACTGTAACGTGGTGACCTTTCTCACGTTATCAGCACTTTCTGACTACTGTGACCTTTTCTATTAGTCTTATTCAAGTTGACCTTTTCGCTCTCTCGTTTCTGTAACACTTTTCTCTTTCGTTTTGAACTATTTTATGCTTTTTCTGTAATATGCAGGGTTCATTACTCGCTGCATATTACACTGTCCCATTCATTCGGACTCCTTCGCCGGCGGACGTAGCGGCTTAAAGTCAACTCGGCCATCTTTGTTAATATGAATAGCTTCGTCCGCGATCAAGGCTTCAACAGCGTTCTTGATCCATTCTTTATCCTTCTCGATGTTCAATTCTCCCAATTCGTAGTGGACGGCCATGAAGTTCGAAAGGTGATTCCATAACGCTCCATTGTTACCGCCGATGGCGTCCAAAGCCACATCTGTGATGGCTATCTTCCAGGCCTCTAGCACCATTTTCAGCCTGGGCGTACGATCCTGGCCCTGTTTCGGAAGGTAGTAAATAACCTTGTTATATTTACATCCCAGTCTTCCTTCCTTATATGCTCTTTTCAAGACTCGCTCGGTCATGCTAAGTGATGATCTTCCATTCGAGTTTTCAGCGACTTGTCTTTTCAGATCCGCACCAAGCATCTCGCCTTCGCTAATGTTCTGAAGTGCAGCTCGGACTTCGCTCCATGTCCGGTTAGTCACGTCCAACGGTGCGCCTAGCGTGTAGTCTGTCGGCTCTTTTATTTTTGTACCGCTAGTCTTCTGGGGGAATGATGCCGAGTCCGTTGGGTCAGTTGTCTCCGTTTCATCAATCGTCAATTTTGCCAACGAGCCTGATGATGACTGAGCAGATTTCGGTTCATCGGTTTTCTCTTTCTGTGGCAAAGTCTCGTGACCTCCCATTTCACCTTCCGACTTCGATCGCTCTTTCTCAAAAACCTCCTTCAATGGTGCGAACAATGATTTCTGAAACACCTGTCGCGCGGAGGCCGCTTCTGCTTCTGCCGCTGCCTTGTCCATCGGGAGCATGACCTTTTCTTTCTCCCGTTTTTCTGAAGTCCCATGACCTTTCGGTTGAGTTTTTTCCGTCACAGTTCCAGATGTTTCTTGACCTTTAGGCTTTTCTGTCGTCGGTTCCAAAGGCGTTGGGACAGAGGTGTTATCGTCACTCTCTTCGGATTCCGCGTCCATCGGTCCTTTCTTTTTCGTCGCTTTCGGTGCTTGTGCTTTAGTCCGAGCGGCTTCTTCTTCAGCTGTTAGCTGTGCGATCCGATTCAATATGGGAGTTGTCGGGTCTCCACTCGATGGCACCTTTTCCATCTCCTGACTGTCGGACATGTTACAATGGACTTGTTTTTCCGGCGGTATCAGGCCTACTCTCGTGTATCGGATCGGATATCCTTTATGTGCGTTCGTTGTGGAAAGGATGTTCTGTTTTATCATCCTCGGCAACACGCGTTCAGTGGCCGTGTCGATTTCCTTTATCATTCCTTTTCCGTCATTCCAAACAGCATTGATGTATTGGCTGATCCGGTGGCTCGTTGACCCCAACGGGCTTGTCATTCCCGCGATTGGCCCTTTCTACTCGCATTGAGGTATCTTCATTTGGAGTCGTCAGCGCCTTATCCGAACTTGACGGTCTGAATAATTTAGCCTTATACGCGAAGTTCGGATGTTTCTGGAGAAGTTTTCCCGCATTCCGAGCGTATTCTAATACCACATCGAACTTCTGTTTGGTGAAACTACGGTGCATTTCTTTTCTCAAATATTTCTTTAGCCCCGTTCTGAATTTCGATGTTACTGATGTCGTTCGTATTCGTGTAAAATTCTTCTCAGCTCCGTCAAATGCGTCGATGATTTCGTCAATCGTGGTCAAATTATCGCTGTCTGGATCTTCAAATTCTGCTTCATCTCCTGAATAATTAAGTTCACTGTCACCGTCCGGTTCGATATAATTGGCCATTGCCAATGCGTCGATTTTCATGGCCTCTTTCCCTTTCTTTTTCGGCTTTGCGGGTTCGCTCTTTGCTTTTTTCCCTTTTTCCAGAACCTTCGCTAGGCTTCTTGGCTCCGTGGTTCTTGATCGAGTCGTTTTCAGGTCCGCATGTGACCTTATGCTAACCGTCGAAGTACTTGGTAGGCTCGCTTCCGATGCTTCTGATTCTCGAGATGTCTCCCGTTTCGCTTTCTCACGCGTTCCTTTCTCCCTGCGCCCTTTCGTAGTGGATGCCGAGATGACGACTGGAACAATCTGTTTCACAGCTATGACCTTTCCCTTGGGTGTTGACGACTCAGGCTCGGTGACCTTTAACTTTGATGTAGCCGATTTGATAATAAATTTCTTTAAAGTTGTAGGTGTCGGTGACCTTTCTTCAACTTCGGCGACTGATTCATCCAGTATTTCAACATCGTGAGACGGCGGTTTATCTTTCTTCCGTCTCTCCTCCTTCTTTTTCCCGGTGCTCGTGCTCTCGCTTTCGTCACCGCCCTTTTTCTTCTTATATTCTTCTTCCTTTCGTTTCTTTAGGAAGTCACCTTTCTTAGCCTTTTCCCGATTCATTGCTTCTTCCAGTTTAGCCGCTTTCCTCGGTTTAACGACCACTTTTGGAGGCTGATTATCTTCCTCGGCCATCTCGTCATCTTCATCGGCCGATTCTTCTGCTGAATCGTCGTTAGCTTCCTCCTCTTCCGAATCGTCCTGTTTCGATGGTCGCCTGGTACTCCCCGTTCCTGCCACTTCGGCTACGGAGGCCTCTGCCATCTCTCCGGCTCCACTTTCTTGTGCCGGGTGTTGGGCCTGAATTTCCAAATGTGGTGTTTCTTTAGTCTGTCCCTGTGTAACGATCTCCCACAAAGGGTTTTTCTTCGCGTCGTAGAACACCGTTTTATACGCTCCGTTTTCCATTCTTCTTGTGAGTCGGAAATGGGCTTCATCTATCTCCGCTCGATGTCGCATCATGCTGATCAGTGTGTTCGCTTGAACTAAAGGATCTTGACGTTCACTTACTGGTATCAAGTTCCACAGCTGTTCGAGTGCCGCCCTGATTGGCGTGTTGGGCGCTCTCTTCTGACACGTCCCAAGGGGCGTATGGGATCGGATCTCCTGTTATCGGGTCGACAATTACTGCGGTTATGCAATCCGTTGTTCCATCGCCAAAGTGGAGTGTCAGCGTCACTTTCCTGCACGTTCCATCAGTATATTTTAGGGTCGACTCGTAATCGTCCAATGTTCGTTTATTCGGATCTGGGTCTGCTGTCGGTTTTGGCTGAATTCTTTCTTTCGTCAGCAACCTTCCGTCCGCTGTATATGTGTATGCCAAATGGTCATCATTCGTGCCCACTTTAATGCGGATACATGCGTTCTCTTCATTCGCTATTTTCGACATCACGTGTTTCATCATCTGAATCAAGACTCTCGGGTTATGACGTTCTTTCGGGGGAATGAATTGTAACGCCTCAGTGACTTCTGTCTTTGACCTTTCCCCAATCTCAGTTTTGACTGACTTATCTGCCAGAGGGTTGTATGAGTCGATCTCTTTATTCGTCCCTTTATCGACTATCCGAGCCGTGACCTTTCGTTCGTTATGGTCCGTTCCAGTATATTTGACTGTGAAAGTCCTGCACTTCGGAAATCGAATTTGGGTATCTCCCGTGTCCGACGGTGTGGGTGGCGCACTCTTTCTACCCACTGGGATCGGTGCTTTACTCGTCGTGACCTTTTTCGTCCGCTGCTCTTTCTTGTCACTTTCTTTTGGACTGGTCGTCGGTGACCTTACTCTTTTCCCACTTTTTACGGTCCCGCTAGACGGCTCTGTAACCGAACCGGTACGTCCGCGTACTGATCCTGCGATTGAGCTGGCCCTTGACCTTTCCGCTCGTTCGGTTACTTCTGCATCGATTTTTCTCTTTGTTTCCAGGAGAGCACTGTCTGACATCTCCTCTACTGGTGCTTCAACTAATGCCCGTGATGGCCCCGCCACGCTGCTTGTCAAAGGTCTCCTTTCTTTAGGAATTGTCTTAAGGAATATCTGTATCTTCTCAATCATCGGCGGCCATTTTCTGTTGGTTAAAGCCGGATGGTACTGTTTCATCGAGGCGATTCTGATCGCTAACTCTTTACGTTTAACTTCGATGATTTTAGTTTTTTCCTTCATCGCGATGTGGGCTGCTTCAATGATTGCATCCAGACTGAGTAATCTTCCATAGAATGCATGTTCATCCTCGACTCGCATGTGGATTCTATAAAGATCCCGACACATTCGGTTGAAATCCTGGATGGCCTCTGTATCAGCCGCTGTCAATCTGTCTCCGTTGCCCACTATCACGTTCAGTCGCGCATCATCTTCTTTCATGTCTAGCGGAAGTTTCGGTGAATAATCATGCACGGTTGGTTCACCCGGGGGCGTTGCCCGTAGACCATCTGGTCCGACCTGCTCCAAATTTGGGCCCAGCGACGGCAGTACGCCTCGCGGTCGTGGTGAATCAAACCGATTTCCTCCTCGCCTCCCTCCTTTTTGTGGCGAGTTCCTGTGAAGTCGTTGCGCTCCCAGTTGCTGCGGTGTTCTCATACGAGGCGTTCCGATGTCTGACAATGATAGGCCTCCTGATTCTGGGAAAGGCGGCAATATCGGAGATGACCCTTGTGACTGGGTCGCTATCATTCCGCCAAATTCTCCATGTCCCATAAATCTACTCGATGTAGCCTGTTGCGGTGGCGGCATCAACACTCTTGCCGGTCCCATCATCACTTGCGGTGGTCCCATCGGTGGGGTATACGATCCCGGATGCGGTTGATAAGGGGCGCTCGTTATTTGTCCCGAATACTGGGTTCCGGCAGGTGAGCCGTGGTGCACCCAGTTAACCGTATCTTGGTAGTTCGTCGGCTGTCCTGGATCGTGATACACATAATACCCCGGGCCACCATAGTAACCTCCTTGGCCTAGTTCGTTCTGTGCCGTTCCGGCTGACGACGTCGACCCTTCACCATATGAAGTGTCATACCCGTATTCACCTTCCATTCTTTTTGGGGTCGATGTCTTTAACGGATTTCCGATGCTTTCCGAATCAGAATTATCTGAGTTTTGCCGTTCCAATCTGTCCATTAACTGAGCTTACCTTCTGTAACAATGAAACAATACTGGTTAGCTTTTTAACGGTGATGACCTTTCCTTTACACCTTCCCAACTCCTATTTTTATTGTAATTAATCCCATTAATCATGTTTATGTGGGTTATTATTTTTCGCGTCCTTTAGTTATCCGATCGAAAAGTTCTTTATCGGCTGCATCCTCGGGTTCGCCTTTCTGGGTCAGTAGTTCCATAGGAGTTAGTTTCTTTTTTCTTCTGTTTGACCTTTCTCTCATTGATTGCTTTCGCTACGTCACGGCCCAACTGTTCAGCTTTTGATTTGACCGCCTCTATTTCCTCCTTTCTCTTTCTTATGAGGTCATTCTCATTGCCGGTAGCAGTGCGTGGTTTGAAAAAATTCGGATCGCGCTCTGATGTCTCGGCTCCTGTCTGCTGTTTCAAAAGGTCATCGACGTCCCCGGTAGCAGTGCGTGGTTCAAAAGAGTCATTTGCAGTACGCTCTGCTACTTTAGAACCTGATTCGGTCTCTTTTTCCAGTGACCTTTCTGCCAAATTTCCAGCTTCTGCGTTCAACTTAATTGTAACTGCTGTTTCGAAATCCTTATCTTCTTTCCTTTTTCTTCCTCTTTTCTTTGTTGGTTTATCTCCGTTTTCATTCTCGTTCATCCGAGCTTCATCCGTTTCGGGTAGCGGAGGTGGTTCGATAAAGGTCTCTTTTTGGGGCTTATGCTCTGCGTCTTCATCCGGCAATGGCGGGTGCCATAACTTCAAGCGATCGATCGAGACCACCTTCAAGTCCGCTTCTTTCTTTGGGTTCTGCTCAATGACCTCCGCTTCGTTTGCTAGCGAAAAGCTAAGGATCTTCCATACTTTGTCATATTTTGATTTAAAGTCCGATTGGTTCTCTTTCTTTCCTTGTTTCGTATCCTTTGGAAGTCGTATCAACACAAGGTCACCCACCTTGAAATTCGGTTCTGACTTCCTCTTATTATATATCTCTGCATTCTTTTCGTAAGCATCTTTAATATTGCATTTCGCCACCTCTTCGGCAAAGGTCAAATTCTTTTTCATAGTTTCTACTCATTCATCTGGGGTCCCGTAGTCATCTGGCACATTCGTTTGTGTGACGACGTCCTCTGGCATGGTCATTTCTCTGCCGTGTAGCATATAGTATGCCGAATATCCGGTTGTGGCGTGTACGACTCTGTTCATCGCCGATATGACGTATGGGAGGTACTTGTTGAACTTCCTCTCATTTCCCGCTTTCAGATATTGCGCCAAGCCATCTGCAATCGTCTGCATTTGTCTTTCAACTTGGCCTTGACCTTCTGGATTATACGCCGTTCCAAATGTGTGTTTGATCTTAAACACATTGGTGACCTTTGTCAACACTTCGGCCGTAAAGTGCCGTCCACGATCCGTATGTAGGATGTGCGGTGCTCCGTTTACCAATATCACATGCTTTACGAACACCTTTGCAAACTCTTTGGCCGTTGCCGTCTTCATTTGTACCGCGATCACATATTTCGTCAGTTGATCGATGAACACCGCTATGTACTTATATCCCCGTTTCTTCGTTGGTAACAACGGTCCTTTCAGATCCGCGTAGACTCGGAAGAACGGATGTCCCACCTTTATCTCTTGCAATTTACCGAGTGGGCATTTCCTCGGTGTCTTACGAAACTGGCATCCTTGACAGGCGAGTATATAATTTTTAACGTCTGTACTCATTCTGTCCCAGTAATATCGAAGTCGGATTGCTGTCAATGTCTTTTCGAATCCCAAATGTCCTGCCGCTTTCTCGTCGTGTGTAATGCGTGGATTATCGCTCTTAGCATCGACAACAGTACCACATATGACCTTTCAAGTTTGCCATTTTTATCCTTTACTCGGTACAGTATGCCATTCCATAACTGATAGTGCACTTCAAATTGCGATCTCGTTTCCGCATCTGGTAAGTGTTCCAACTCATCTATTATCATTGCCAGATGGGGATCTTTGAACTGTTTATTCCGCAACTGCAAGTTCGAATCATCTTCATCTTCCTCATCGCCTTGTAGGTTAACGATACGAACTGTTGCCGTACTTAGTTCGTTGCAATCCTTGATGACATTACACCGCGGTAACGGCTTATATCTCTTTTTCATCTGTTTCGGGAATCTCAGCAGCTTTATCGGACACTCGTTCAGCGCCTGTGCCACTTTGTCTGTTTCCCAAAGGTCATCTCTATTCTCCACCGCTTCGTTAAGTCCGGTGACCTTTCCAGCTTGAGTTTCAGAATCCATTCCAAGTCCGGTGACCTTTAAGTCACTAACGGTGGGCAACCAGCTTTCTACGCGGTTCACGTTTACTTCTGG